TTCGGGGTAACTATTAATCCTATCTCACAGGTCGAATGTCTCCATTTACATTTTTCTATAGAAATAAATGTTTTATAAGTAATAAAAGTAATATTCAAGTTGGAAAATATGCCAATTTCTCTTCCAAGTTTTTACTTTCAAGATAATATTTTCATTTGATTTGAATATCTGTATTAAATTTACATATATTCATATATTCAATACATATTCTTTGATATGTATGTACATATTCAAATGTACTCATACATATTCAAACACAATACCTATTGCATTTGAATTAATACTATGTATTATATTTGAATATATACATATCAATGAATATATGAACACATATGTATTTATATTCATCAATAAGAAATGTGGTTTGTTTGGCTTCTTTTCTTTTTAAAAAAATTTTATTGTAAAAGTGACATACAGAGGAATAACAGTTACATGAACCAGGTAATGAATACATTGCCATTTGAACAGTGTTACCCCCTCCTTCATTCTCCCTGTTGGGCTTCTTTGAACCCCTAAATCTTTACTGTATTAGCTAAGTATGTTCCTTTACAACACTTCTATTCCCAGACATACCTTCTCTGATTATTTGCTTGACATTAATCTTTGAACAACTAAAGGTCTTTCTTCTTTCTTTTGGTGTTCAGCGTTGAATCTAATGGTTTACACATGTTACATAAGATTTCTAACTCTGAGCTACATCCTCAACCCAATTAGAAAGTCTTTGTGCAGCACAGATTGTAAAGACAAAGATACAGAAATTACTCTGCTTCTGTCATTTGCTGTTACCACAGGAGTTTTTATTTGAGCTTAAAATTTTAAACAACAAAGGACTGCAGACTGAGAAATGTTCATTATTGACTTGGTTGATATAAATTTTAATTTATATTTGAAACAGTTTACCAAATTTGAATAAAATCTTTAAAAATGGCAAAAAAGAGAAAATCTTTGTAGTCAGAGGTGAATGCTGCTTACTACAGCTTGCTCAGCAACTAACATACTTCTTTACTCAAAGCAGGCTCAATAAATAATGTTTAATAATGGCACACACAAGTAAGAGTACATTTGAGTCCAGTATCTAGACATTTTTTACATTTTTTATTGTAAAAATGCTGAACAGAGGGGTTACAATTACATGAGCAAAGTAATGAGTACATTTCCTATTGAGCATTGTTGCCTCTTCCCTCCCACCTCCACAACTATAACAACCCCCCCCCCTGCAGTTGTAAAGTTAGTTTTCAACATAGTGTCTTGCACATCTCATTGTTGCAATGGGTCAACCTGTATCCTTATTTAAGCATTTTGTTTTTGTCCTTCCCCTCCCGGAATTAGAAAAATGTATATACAAGATCAGGGCACTGACATTAAATACAATGAAAACAGGGGTTAGAGGGGGAACATACAATGAAACAAAAAAAAGTCACATGGTACATTATAAATACGTTTGAAACAATAGCAAGAAAGCAAAAGGATATTTGTGTTCCTATGTTGGGGTTCATTTTTCTTAACGTCATCTCGTATGATCATATGTACATAGCTTTTGGCCTTTTCTGCTTTTCCTACACATATACTAAATTGCAAATAAGGGAAACCATGGGACCTATGCTTCTCTGGGCTTGGCTTACTTCACTTAATATAATTTTTTCCAAGTCTTTTCATTTCCTAACAAATGGGGTGATGTCATTCTTTCTGATGGAGGCATAGAATTCCATTGTATACATATACCACATTTGCTCGATCCATTTATTTACTGAGGGGCATCTGGGTTGGTTCCATATCTTAGCTATGGTAAATAGTGCTGTGATAAACATAGTTGTGCTGGTACCTTATTATGGTCTTGCTTGTGATCGTTTGGGTAAATGCCCAAAAGTGGGATTGCTGGGTCATAGGGGAGCTCTATGTGGAGTCTTTTGAGGAACCTCCAGACTGCTTTCCAAAGTTTACACTCCCACCAACAATGCGGTAAAGTTCCCTTCTGTCCACATCCTGCCAGCATCTGTTGTTATTAGATTTCTTGATTATAGCCATTCTAGCTGGTGTTAGGTGGAATCTCAATGTTGTTTAGATTTGCATTTCTTTTATGACTAGAGAAGTTGAGCATTTCTTCATGTGTCTATTGGCCATTCTTATTTCCTCTTCAGAGAAGTTTGTCACATGAAATTTCTTAGGTGCATGATAGGGTGTGACCTTGACAGTGATTGGTTTCTCTTCCTCCCCTGCCATGCCACCGGCCCTTTTTGGCTTTAAAAAGGGCTGCTCTCTGTTAATAAAGGAGTTTTCTTCCATGCTTAAAAAAAAAAAAGAAAGAAATTTCTAAAGCTGACAAAGTGATTTGACTATTTTAGATAACTATATCTTTTGGAATAAGTACTATACCAATATAATGAAATAATAATCAACAAATTAAAAATATGAATCCATGTTTATCATACATATATATCATATAAGTATCCTTTGTATATACATATGATTATGTCACTATATTTTAAAATCCTGTATTTAAGTTATCTTTCAGAAATTATGAAATATATTTCTGTAATCTTCTGTGTGGAATTCCCTTATTTTTATTCTTTATAATCCTATTGCTCCAGGCTTTAGGAACCAGAAAATTACAGTGCTAGGCACTCATTCTGGGGCTTATTATCCTGTAAGCTTTAGCATGTGGCAGCTATTGTAATCCTTGCATGTCAGCATCAGTAAAAGGAGTAGCAGACAGCAGCGACCAGCAATAGGCATACTTTCCAGTGTCACAGCTCAGATACTGGGCACCTAGCTGATGAAAATAATTTATAATATGGTGCTAATTCTAAAAAAAAGAATGGGAGTTGAGAGAAAGCAAAGCACCCAAGGTGGATAATTGTTAAGGTCACTGTTTTAAGTCCTTGGTATAGCATAATCAGTCCCTTTTTCACAGAGGGAAAAACAGATGTAAGTAAGTTAATAGGATCCCTATGTTCACAGAAGTAGTTATTGGGAGTTCCAGGATTGTACCTAGGCATCTCATTGCTGACTGACATCCTACCATGCTCAAGATTTTACACAAGCACGAAAATAAGTTATTTATACATATTTATTAACACTAGAAGGAGTAAGGGAGAAACAAAAGCCACAAGATTTAAAAACTAAGTAGAAAGTAATTTGTATCAAAATCCCAACAGAAAAGCTTCCTGGGGTAGACATTTGAGTTTCTATTTTTGAACCTTAAAAGACAAGCCAAATCAAGAGAAGATGAAAGAGGTATGATATATGTGTATGTGAAAAAAATAATTAAATCTGTAAAGTTGTTTAAAAAGAGAGAAGTGATAAGAAAGAGTAATAGAAAGATGAATATGATCAAAATACATGTATATGGAAGCATCACAATGAAACCTCTCTTATATGATTAATATGTACTAACTAAAATTAGATCACACCTATTTTAATCCTTAACTATTTAAATGTACTTAAGGCACACATTACTCTGTCTTCTAAGTTTTTCTCTATAATAAGGTTCAATATAAAAATGTTAATATTATATAAGAGAAGGATGTTGTCTGATTTTAAAATCCTCAAGGCTGTTTCTTTTTTCATCTTTTAAATTTAAATTTAAATGTGATGTACAGAGGGGTTACCGTTACATAAGTCAGATAATGAGTACATTTCTTTTTGAACAGTGTTACCTCCTCCCTCATTTTCTCCCACTTTATCCCCTCCCAACTCTTCTGGCCCTCAAGTTATAAAGTTCATTTCCAACATAATGACTAGTACGACTTCTGAATTGGTTCACCCTTTATCCCACCATTTCTGTGATTCCCTTTCCCCTTCCCAAATCAGATAACTATGTACAAGACAAAGAGTACTTTGTGACAAAAAGAAAAAAAGAGAAAGAAAGAAAGAAAGAAAGAAACGAAAAGAAAGAACTGTAGACAGTACAATAAAAACCTTTTGTTTCCATTTCTTGGAGTTCATTTCAATAAGCATCATTTTATGTGGCAGTATACACATAGCTATTGAGCCATGTGATCTTCTAGTAAGAATATCTTCCTTTAAGCTGGTGCTGGTGGCTCACATGTGTAAGCCTAGCTACTATGGAGGCTGAGATCTGAGGATCGAGGTTCAAAGCCAGCCTGGGAAAGAAAGTCTGTGAGACTCTTATCTCTAATAAACCACCAGAAAACTGGAAGTGGTGCTGTGGCTCAAGTAGTAGAGCACTAGCCTTGAGCTGAAGAGCTCAGGGACAGTGCCCAGGTCCAAAAAGAAAATATTAAGATCAAATTAAGTATATTTCTAGTATTTTAGATTAAGATGTTCTGGATGAACATTATTGGAGGATTATATATTCAAACTAAAGAAATATGCAAGCATATAAAGGCACCACTGTGAGGAAAGGGCCTGTTTTTGTTTGTTTTTCCTCCATTTATCTACTTATTTTATTTTATGCATCGCCTTTATTAGGGTAAATTGGTTCAGTTTGATCCATTACTTCTAAAGCTAAAATGTGTTAGAAACCACGAATTCAGTCCTGTCATTTGCTTCTGAGAAAGGGAGTCTCATCTCTCTACTCTTCTTAGTTCTAGTCATAGCAGCAAGGTGACAGAATCAGCTGCCTTGCTGGTAAGCCCAGAACTTACTCAGTCCACCGCACTACATAATTCCCTCAAGGGAAGAGAAAATATTTCTAATGAAGAAATAAGAAGGGCCATCAGGACATTCTAATGTTTTGTGTTCTTTCAAACAAATTGGGCCACACCTTAATACTGATCATACCTCCCTAACCGGAAAAGTGTGACCTTCTGAGTCATGGCCAGCAGTTGCACCTTGTGAGCCCTTTGCTCCTCGGTGCTTCTCTGCACAGGTATTGACAATTACTTCATTGTGTGGAAATGGCTGGCGTAAAATTGAACATATTCTTATCAGGTTCTATCAAGACAGCAATCCCCAGTCATTAAGCCTGTCAGACTTGTTTTCCTTCCTTGTTGTCAGTGACTGCCATTATTTTCCAGCCTCCCAGCCCTGACCCGGCTGATAGAGATCAGATGGTGACTGAATAGAAGCTGCCCCAGTCCTGGGTCCATGATGTATGCGTAAGTACTCAGCTTTTCTCAGTGACTTGTCAATGGCAGATGTTTATGTTTCCTGAGACATGCCGTGAAGATGCCAGGCTGGTAGAGGTTACTTTTTAAAAATAATATTTTCATGTATTTTGTGTTGAAGCTTTATTTTGTTAATTGTGGATATAATAATTTTGTGAAAGAAAAGAAGCCAGTATGCTTTTCTCCCCTAAATAATGGAGTTAGAAGTAGTATGCAATGCTATGTTTTAATATGTAGAAAAATATATTCTTGAAGGAATAGTCTTTAATTTACTTCTTTAATATATTTCATTTCAGTGTTTAACATAGGTCATTTATGTCTTTAGACTATTCAATACCATCGCCAGTAAGATGGTATAAGTTTTTTTATTTTTAAATCATATGTGGCTTATTGAAGCAACTATGGACAAGGAAGTATAAGTTGAAAAGGATAGTCTATTCTATTTATGTACAGAAATAAAACAATTGTATGTATATATAATTATCATCTTAAACTTTGGTGATATTTGTAATAATTGTATTGAAAGAATCTGTCAGCTGATAAATATATAAGTTTATGCAAATATTGTATGTAGGTAATAGTCAAGCTATTGTTTTCCAGACTCAGAAATGAATAATTGATACTTGATGGATCATTCCATTCAAACTTTTGCTTAGTGTATGCTTGTTTCTTTCTCAAAAGAATTCTGAATTGGTCAATGGACACAAATATTCTACATGTTCTCCACTGTCTGATGTGTCAGACTTGATCACAGTTTTGTGATAATTGTAATTGTACAATGTTTTGAGTTTGTCTTCAATTTAATACATTAAGCCTGCAGGCTCTCACTATCTTCAATGATGAGTGTTTTTACCCTCCCTACTTTACTTTCTAATAACACATGAGCCTGAGGAAGTGTCCATTCAATGTATCAGGCTTCCCCCACAGACCCTTTAATGATGGCATGATATATCATATTGTCTATGCTTTTAATTAAATCAAGAAACATACTTCTTTTTTACCAAGATAAGACAAAACTCTATAAAATCATGTAGAAAAAACTTACTTTTATATTGATAAGCATTAACATAAATATGATATAGTTAGCAAAGTTCCTTTGAAGTTCTCCATTTGTTGAAGAATTCTATACTGTGGGTTTCTATCATCCTAATTTTCCTTGTCCTAATCTAAGGCCTCATCTCTATCTTCTCTCTCTCTCTCTCTCTATGCCTTTGTAATAATATAATATATAAAAATGTAGTATATATAATATGTAATATTTAATATTTTTATTATCTTTAAGCAGTTACCATTCAACATGTCAGTTTATAAGTATAATGCATCTTGACCCATATCACTCCTTTCATCATTGTCCCCCATTCCTCTCAACCCAATCCTTCCCTTCCATTTTACTAGTTTCATAGGATTGCATTGGATATTATGACTTCATTCTCCCACCCCTTTTCTCTCTTCCTTTTCCTCCCTCACATCTCCGGCACCAGCTTCTGATATTCATTATGTTGCACTGTGAAGTCAGTTTTTCTAAGGAGTTACAGCATTTGAATTCTCCCCTGCAGCTATCATACTACGGCTTCATCATTATTTCTTTCCACTCTGAAAGTGGTGTTCTAGACATGTGAAACTTCGAATTCAAAGTTACAAGAGGTTTCAATTCAAAATATGTAGTTTAGAGAATTTTAAATCTTTTTTTAACTTAATTTTTTCCCCCGTAGGGCTGGTCCTAGAGCTTGAACTCAGGGCCACGGCACTGTCCCTGTGCCTTTTGTGTTCAAGGCTAAAGTTCTACTACTTGAGCCACAGCTCCACTTCCACTTTCTGGTGGTTAATTGGAGATAAGAATTTCATGGGCTTTCCTGCCCAGACTGGTTTCAAATATAAGTTCCTTAGATCTCAGCCTCCTGAGTAGCTAGGATTATAAGAGTGAGTCACTGGCACTTGGTAGAATTTTAAATCTTTTGAACTGAATATCAAAGCAAAATTGTGAATCTTTTTTTGTCAGTTGTGAGCCTTGAACTCAAGGCCTGGACACTGTCCCTGAGCTCTTTTGCTCAAAGCCAATGCTCTATCACTTAGAGCCACAGCACTATTTCTGGTTTTCTGATGGTTAATTGGAGATAAGAGTCTCACAAGGTCTTTCTTCGTAGGCTGGCTTCCAACCCTCAGATCTCAGCCTCCTGAGGCAATATTGCTTTTATCACAGATAATCTGCAATAATATGGATTGTTTATAAAGATAAAATAAGAAGTTTAGGTAATAGGTGCATTGATTATATTACTAAAGGTATTTTGCTCTAGAGATCTAGAAAGAGTTAAATATACTTGTAATTTCTTAGGATTAAGTCCTGTCTTTTTAATTTTGGAGAAGCTGAAAGGGAACTGACATAATGTTTAAATGTGTTCTAGATCCAGCTTTGCACACAATTGTCGGGAAAACTTACTTACCTCTCAAGACTTCACTTTTGTCTATAAAGAACAGGGAGAGATTACAGTAAAATAAATGGGGTGAGAGTTATTATTTGTGTGGTTCTTAAAATAATCTTAGTAAATAAGCACAAAGCTATCTGTAGTTTATTGGTTTACTTGATTAATTTTGAAAGTTTCTTTATTGTATTTGGATAATAATGATAACATTTTTTGTGATCTCTTATTATATCTTAAGTAGAAAGTATAAGAATTATATTGTGGGAAAGCTTCAAATATGTGAGTCTTTGTGTGTCCTGTGGAGATGTAGAACGTTTCTTACTGGGTCATGGTCAAAAATATTTTTAAAGAACATTATATTAGATAATCCTAAAGTGCTTTTGAATTCTTATATTCTGTGATTTCACAGAGTCAATAGCTAGTAGTTATGGAAAATATTAACTCTAGAAGGCATAAAAGAACCACTAAAATGATCAAGAGAATGTATATTAGTAATATTTTCCAGTAAAAAAGAAGTACAAATGAGGCACTCTGAAGTACTCTCTAATCTCCTAAAACTTCTCTTAATATGTAATAATATTAATTTTTAAAAACAATAAAAAGCTAGCTGATGAAAAAAGGATATGTTCTGAGTTGAGATAATATAGTCTCTGAAAAGTCATGAGATCTAAAATAGTTGCAAGTAGATACTGCAAATTCTCCAGTGAAACAGTCTATGAAGAAGCTTTTGTATCTGGATTAAATTATCTAAACTTTCTTCTGGACTTGGGTAAAATTTTACTTGAATAAAAGATGAAATCTGCCCTTTAAACCTTTTACAGGGATTTACAACTTTGGAGGTTCTATTGACATCAGGTTTCAGTGGCAGATCTAGGTGAAGGAAAATTCAAGGAGACTACCTACATACATGGAGTTTTCTCAGTCTACAAGAACATTCTTTCTCACATTTGGCACCCACTGTCTTCCTTATAAACAAACTTGCTATGACATGTTTTTCCTTCATTGATATCTTAATCATTCTTAAAGCACAGCCATCTCCTTCAAACTTATATATCATCATGAATACATCTATTGGTACTTATTTGTTTTCAGTTATTTGTTATTAGTTATTTGTTTTCAGTTATGGGTCTCCAGTTAAATATAAAGCTCTCTATATTTCCAGAGACATACTGCCTGCTCACTCTAGATTCTCAACATTTGTATGTATGACTATATACCACTAATGCCAAAGAACAATATTGAAAAGAGGAAAGGTTAGGAGTAAACGAAAAATTAAAGTTTAGTCCTCATTACATATCTATTAACAATGCCATGAATATTTGACTGATAATATCTAAATGGTAAATTTATTCCAAGTAAGCTTATGTTGTGATGATGAAGATCTATTACTAGAGAGAAGAAAACATCAGATAAGTGGACCAGATTTTAAATTTCATTCATCAACTCAATAAAATACTTGTGACACTAGCTTACAGTGTATTAGTATCACATTAGTATCACATGTAGGCATGTATAAATCTGCATACATTATACATGCATGTTGGTTCTGTATGTATAAGTAAATATATATTACATATGCATATCCGATGCATGTAAGAGACCACATGGGTACATACAATAAAAAGTCACTATTATTGTGTTTCTAATCTAAAGAAGATGTAATAAGTAGTTAGACAAGTAGAAGTAAAGTATAAGCATAATGAAAATAATGTAAAGGTTGTATACTTTCCCCACATTCCAACTCAACCATTTAACCATCTAGCTTTAAAAAAAAGAGATTTTTACCTTTATATGTTAATATTCTATTTACTTATTTCTATTAGCAAGTAAACAATTGCTGAAGTTGTAAAAGGGATTTTGAAAACATTAAATACTAATATTGTTTGCCGCTATGCTTAAAGACAAGTGTAGGAAAGCAATATTGATACCAGTGTTTACGGGGAAGATAAGTCTCTGTTACTTGATATAATTATTAGCCGTCATCTTCAAAAAGGATACTGTGGCTGGCAAAGTGGCTCAAGTGGTAAAACGCCTGCTAAGCAAGTGAAGCCCTAAGTTCAAACCTCAGTATCACTAAGAGAACAAAAATAAAGAGGATATTATAACTTGGGAGTACTGCAAAGTTTGATGTGCTAAGGTAGTAGATGCATATTTTGGAATAAATAACAAGAATGTTTTTATTAAGTCATAATTACTATACAGCTTTATTATTTATAGGCATTGTGAACTCTTAGCATTTCAAAATGTGTTCAAAACCCAAGTTCAAAATCAATTCAAAGACAAATCAGAGATTTCATATTTCTTGTGTTAGATTCTGTATATTGTATTTCCTTCCAATAGTGCACATAATAAAATTTTGACTTAAAAATTCTGTGTAGTTACCAAAATTTAAAATAAATTAAATAGAATTTAAGTTGTATTGCTGGGGGCCAGTGGCTCACGTCTGTAATTCTAGCTATTCAGGAGGCTGTGATCTGAGAACTGAAGTTCAGAGCCAACCTCAGTCAGACAAACCCAGTTTGTTAATGAAGAGCTGGTAGTAGAGGTGTGCCTCAGGTGGTAGAGAGCCAG